AAGTAAATACAGCAACCTGGAAATACAATTATTTTTGGAGGAAAATTCAGATGGAAGAACTTTTCAGTCTAGAAAAAAAATATAAATCTGAATCCTACTATGTAAAGAAGGTAAAGTCCTTCACAGAAAGATGAAGACTGAACAAAAGACTAAGATGAACACTGTATTCATAAGAACCTTTTTATACCGTGTGTTCCTACACAGGCTTTACTTGCTGTTATGGTAGAAAGACACGGCACTTTTTTCTAAAAATGCAGTGCCACAGTGCCTCATCTGGGATGAGGTCTCTTCAGGATACCAGGAAGATCCCAAATTTCAATTAAAGGAAGTGAGTCTGCAGTTTGACGTCAATGGGAAAGGGAGCCTCATGCGTCTCCCTAACACCTAAGGACATGATTACCGCTGTCGTGATGGTTGTTATCTTTGGCAGTGATTTCTTCTGGGTCACTGCAGTAAAATAATTCCATCATCAGGCAAAAGCATGGGAGCTGAGAGTAACCTGGGTTTTGAACACTGAGAAATGAAGATATATGAACATAAAGCAAGCCCAGAAGAGTTGTATGTGCAGGAAGGCAGCTGGATTGTAGCTAAACAGGATCACTTCAAGCCTAAAACAGATCTTGCCAAACATGTACCTTGGGTCTCAATCAATTTGGATTCTTTATTCCAGTATCAAGACACCTAGGAACGCCTTTGAACACATTTCAATTACATCAGTAGCACCCAAATCACAGCAGAGGTCACCAAACGCCTTCAGTCTAAACCCGAGTCACACACAGAGCCCAGGTAGCACCCAGATTCCTCCCTGACATCAGCACAGAAGGTAACCACCAAGATTCACACGGTCTATAGGTTCAAGATGAAACTGTTTAACTAAAGGCTCTTGCACTGTATCTAAGCACAACCGTAACAGGTGAAACAACTTGGACATTGAGATACAATTTTCTGTACATGCAACACACACAGACACTTTTCTCGATTCAATGAGCTATGATAGTGTGTTACCATTTAGTAACACACTCCTCTGGTTTGAAAAGGTCTCTCCTAAAGCCAGGCAATCGACTGAAGCCTTCTCTAGGAGCAAAAAGGAGCCCAAAGGAAGCATCCACCCTCGACTGAGGAGGACAGAAGTAGTGACTCAGGGAAACAGAGCCCTGAACAGAATCCCCCAAAAGCTGAATTCCTAAATCAAAGGCAAGGGACAAAATAACCGGAGATACAGTAGCTAAATGCTGTTTAGGTACATGGGACTGGAAAAGGCCACCAAGGGAAGCCTCACAACAGATAACAACACAGAAAAGGCCCTTTAACACACACTCCAAATGTTTCCCACTTGCAGAAAGCAGAATTTACTTCTTGGAATCCCTTACACCTGAAACAGAATCACTGCTGGTTGACTTAATCCATTCGTTCCACAAACTGATCAAAGGCATCCAGGGTCTTTGTCCCTGTTCATGTCTTAACTGAAAGGCCATTTATTCCTGATGATTAGAAACTTCTTCTAATTTCTTGTATAAATCGATTCCGGACTAATTTCCATCAATTTGGTATTGCATACACATTACCCTTTAACTTGTACAGCCTCATTTCCTGCAGTGACCAGCTAATGGTCACTGTTTCTGAGGCACACGGGCCCAGACGGCCCCCATGACTCAGTGGAGCTGGTTTGTGTTCTTCATTTTACCATAGGCACCTTTAATGCTGATGGAATCAGAGATGTAAAACAGGCTCAGATTAGCAGTCGTGCCACAAAAGCGTCTCTCACACATCATTTGTGCAAACTCAAAATTAACCATACCTGGAAAAGGAATGAGAGTTATACGTAAGCCAATTAAATTACTTGTCTCTAAAGCTACCAATTCTGTCCTATGTTCTCTCAATTATCAGCTGTGCTACATTCAAGGTAAAGATGAGTGTTGTTTCTGAAAGGCCACAAAGGAAGCAAAATATATAATCAGTGTTGTGCATAATCATCACAAAGGAAAGCAAGCATCCCCTCTCCAGTCCCAGTGGGACAGAATAACCTGGCGTGACCATTCCTTCTGCACGGAGAGCTGGGTTTGTTCTCTGCCTCTAGATCAGGTAAGGACAACAGGAAGCAGAAGCTTCATGAGTGATCCTGGCTAAAATTCATCCCTGAAAAGATGTGAACCTTTTTCTGGACACATGGAAAGTGTAATCTCATCTACTGTTCTCATTCTGATTGACATTCACTAATTGCCAAGAAAAATCTCTCACTGTAGAAAATAATTTGGCAGGAATTACCATGAGCAGATCAGAAGGTGAATTAATTTATTGCAGTAATGTGTACAGCTGTTTTATTTTAATGCCAGGGACTTGACTTCTCTCAACCTTCCTCACTTACACACATACATTCTGCAAGCTAACGTTGCAGAACAGCTTTCAACATATTCTACTTGTAATTCTACTGCTCAAAACAGTTAAGGATCTTCTATAATCTGGATCGCTTTAGTTCATGGCAGAATTTACACTTTTTTCCCCCTGGTATTTAAAAAGTAAATGGAAAGATCTGACTTTAAATAGCTGCAATTTCAAAGACACACTGCAAACAACCCAGACCAGTCAAGAACAGGAATCAGGAACGACACAGACACGAGCTTTCAGCCATGCAGGAGGAGTCAGGAATAATGTTTTAAGTCTGTTACCGAAATGGTTTCACTTCAGGTGTAAGTAGTTTATTAGAGTTACTTTTGACAGTTATTTTAAATGACACAGTATATGAGATGGTGGTTTCAGTAAGACTCGAGGCACTTGATTGCTACTGCTTTCACTGTGCTTTCTCTGCATACCAGAACCCTTCAGTGGTCTGGGGAACACCAGGAGTCTCCTCTGACGGAAGCATTGGTAAACATGGATCTAACTAAACACCAAAATTTAGAAATGCAAGAATATTTCCTTCCATATTCACTGTAAAGCCCTGAAAACCTGCTTTGAGATGTACCTTCCCTGTACAGATCACACCAATGGCCTTCTCGGATTATTAAGGACTTTGATAAATCATCCATTCCTTGTATCCAAAAATGTCCAGTCATAACCTAAGACACGATTTTAAAAGGAATTTTACAGAATCCAAATGCATCCTAAATTCTGAAGGTTGTTCCCTTCCACCAAAAAAAATAATTGCTATTTTCTCTCCCATTAACACTCCGCACTCTTACAGACGTTACAGCTACGTTAGTGCTGAGGAGTGAAAATGAAGCACGCTGACTAAAACCTACAGTCCTTCCGAGTTTAAAATAGAAAACCTCACCTATGCTTTATAATTAGTGCAGATGAACGTTTAACTTCAGATTTTAAATACAGTAAGTCTTTGAAATATTAATAATATCCTTTTATGGATCTTTAGGATATGCTTGTGTTACAGATCAGGTTCTGCACAGCTACACACCCATACTATAACATTTTCTGTTTCTTTCTTTAAGAGAGAGAAATGACACCAAGGAACACTGAAAAGTAAGTAGTGAAATTACAAACTATAAAATTATGGGAAGTTTCAAGTGATAAGAACCCAGATAATTGATAAAGATTAAACTGTGCATTAATAAACTACCACTAAACATTAAGGACAAAGCCCACATCCTTCCGCTGACACAAGAAGCACAGGGATGGCAGGCTAATGTACTTCCTGAACTGGTTTGTTGTTCCCAAATTCAGCAAAGATGTTTGTCATACATTCCTCCCATGTACTGATACTAAAATGATCAAAAGGTAGAAAACCAGCACGTGCAAAGAGCGGACAAAAGGGGTAGTCTTCATTTGGATTTGGGAAATTCGGGGGAAAAAAGTACTTGTTCTTAATCCACATTTTTCCAGAATGAGATGTCCCTGCTTGACCTGGGTCCCTCACCTCCAGCCATACGACTGCCACCAAACCTGCAGGAACACTGGAACAACGTGTTTTGTAGAGCCCAAGAGGTTCAGAAGATGCCAAAAGCACAGAAGAGATACTTTAAACCAGCAAGAAGGCGCTGGTGTCCTTGTCAACTCACTCTTCAGCCTAGGATCCTGCAGTAGCACTCACCACAATGAGATAAATGAAATAAAGCTAACGGAAAGACCTGGCAACATCTTCAGGAACACCAATCCAAGGTTTGATGCTAAGAAAGCCTTTCCTTTAGGAACGAGTCTCAGCGTACAACTCCAGTAATTTCTTCTAATGCCCAGACATCCTCATGTAAACCAATACTCAATGATTTGTTCTATATACATCACGTAACTCGCACCAAATCTGAGTTTTGTTCACTTAACTCAATCCAATGTTGGAGCATGTCCTGCTTTTACTGGGATTGAGTTGTAAAATTCCATTTTCTGTTCACAACAAAGCATTATAAAATCTACTGAGTTATAAGAGGTCTGAATAAAAAACACCAACCCAACAATATGGTTCATCTAAGAGTAAATGAGGACTATGACCAAGCTTTTCCTCACCTTTACTGATCAGTTCTGTTTGAAGAAAACCCTTGCTACTCCACAAAGAGCCACTGCAGTCCCACTCACCTTTCTGTACCAGGAATACTTTCATTCACAGATAACACTGTGCTAATCCTCTTCCTGGTTCTTATCCCAAGGTGCTCCTGTCTCTTTAAAGCTGTTCACACGCATGCACTTTCAGAGTCACTTGAAGGATACTGAAGTTGCTCCAGCACAGCCTTTCCCTTTTGTTACCAGATTAAAAAGCTCACATCCAAGTGCATTAGCACTGTCAAATCTGAGTCCGTATCACCTACATTTGTTCTGCTTTGCCCCCTAAGATCACTCCACAAACCATTCAGCAAAAAAATAAATGTATCGCTTCTTTGCAGCCATTTATACTGGAATATGTGGGATCAACACAGAACATGTGAAGCCGGACAGAGGTAAATTTACACAGACAACACTCAAAGCCTTTTAACTTACAGAGTTAATTACAACTATCCAGTTTATATTACTTTAACGGGTGTTTCAGAAGATGTGCGTAACTGATAGCTAGGACCCTGCTCATTAGCACCACCAGCAGCCGCTGTCCAGTAGGAGCCGAACTGAACACCCTGTACCTTCTGCAGCCAGCAGAGCATTGAGGTGTGACCTGAGGATGACAGAGCCAGAGCCGTCAGTGAAAACTGATGGCTGAGTTTGGTCTGAAATGGTTAACAGCTTTACTCCCCCATGTACATACAATGCAAGTTAACTCCTAATCCATTACTGTGCTGTTCCGTCTTTACCACAATTCAGTCTCAGGTCTGTGGATCAGTGCACACCTCCAAAGGTGCTTTAGAGAACCTCTGTCTAAAACCATCTGGGGATAGCAGTGGGTTCAATACTGCTATGTCTAATCCTAACCAGCCAGTAATTAACAGGATCTGCATGACCACGTGCACTAAGCACAATATACATTTGCAAAAATATATCTCCAGCATATAGAGTTATAAATTAAGAAATTAAGACTTTCATTGAAATCATACCCTCACTCATAAGGGAGCATTTCCTTATATTAGCTAACAATGGATTTAGAGGCAAGGGCTAATATATCCTGTCTGGACAGGAGATGGCTCTGGGAAGCAGGTACCTGCAT